CAGAAGAGGAAAGAGGCCCTTCAGGAGAAGTTTCGGGAACTGGTTACCGTCTGTTTCGGGCAGGTCAAGGCCAAAGCTGATGAGCTCAAGCAAGAGCACACCTTGGCTAAACAGCGAGTGGCAGCTAAGAAGCGACGATGCGAGCAGCAAGAGGAGCCTGGGCCAGGTGATGCAGCAACTAATGATGACGAGACTAAGGCGGCTACGGAGGCTGCTGCCAGTCAGGCGACAGGTACCTCAGCTGATTCCAAGGCTGCGCCTTCTACGCCTGGTGCGCCTGCAGCCCCTGAAGCCGAAACAGCCTCCAGTAAGAAGGCCAATGGCAAGCCAGCACGCCGTTCTGCATCCATCGTCAATGGTGCGAAGGCCAAGCTGGCTGCTGGGTGCGTCGCGACAGGCCCTCCACAGCAGGGGCAACATGGACTATGACTTCGACTACCAGCATTCGGTTTTGCTTGCTATTCCGTTGAGTGCAACCTTGGATGCTGAGCAATACCTTCCAGGGCATCACGTTTCAGCTGGACTTGCAGGTTACTTCTGCGTCGGGGATACCAACTGGAATGGTGATGCCTGTCTTTCTCTACCTTATGAAGAGTGTCTTGGTGGGATGCAGACCAGAGTCATCTACGACTACAACCCCTGGCTGCCCTGGACACCCCTCTTCCCCATCTACTACCTTTGGTTCCTCAACACGATCTACTACTTACAGTACCAGGAGTGGATCAGCATCATCGCAGTGCGGCGCACTCACTGGCCCCACCCTCCATGAGAAGGGGATGACCCCGTGGCGGCCCCACGGCGCGAGTCTCCCTGGAGGTTCGGTGTGTGGTTTCCAGCAGAAGTCGCCACACGTCCATCTTAGAGGTGCTACCAGACCTCCAGCTGGCCAGGGATGTGCCTCCCCTGGGCTGGAGACACGAGCGACGCAGATTAAGGCCTCTGCTGGGGCATCTGCGACGACTGGTCCACCCACGACGGCGAGGATTACTGCGAGCAGCTCGGGTACTTGCGGTGCTGGGTCCTCCACGCACTGGACGATTGCCACCAGTGGACCTACCGCCTCGTCTACTGGGTCTTCGACCTGGGCGTCAGAGCGCTATGCGTCGCCACCAGCCTGCCCTTCCCCTGGGGCACCCTCTCCACAGGAGGCGAGGGAAACAGCGCATGGGGGAGGCGGGTTGGCAGGTTTGCCAGATTCGCGCATGACTGCAGCTGGGCCTCGAACCTTTGTGCCTGCGCCCTGCTTGGAACGACAGACCAGAGCATGGGCCCAGCGATGGGTCAACAACCCGCATCAAGGACTGCAGCCAGATGATGAGGCAGAATTGCATGATGTGTGTGAGGCGTTTTTGGCGCAAGAGCTTGCCCATCCGAGGTTTGCGCATACCTTGCGCGCACGTATGCAGACGCCTTGGCAACTGGCGCATTAGATATGTGTTCGCGCTTGGCATAAAGGTGTGCGTAGTCGTCATAGTTTCCTTTGCTGGTTTCGCAAGTTAACTAGCAAACAACCGTATGCGGCTGCTGGCATGCACAACTATGAATGGAAATCCTTTAGGAGCTGGTTCGCAAGCCGCCACCGTCAGGGGCCAGCACCACCTTTTGGCCCACTACCTGGACAATCGCGCCGCGCTCCACGCCGACCAGCAGCAGCACCCACTGCGTCCTCCAGTTCGGCTGGTACTTCAGCTGCGACGGCTTCGGGTGCACTGACTGGGTCTGCTGGTTCGCCTTCATCGACGGGTGCGACTACTGCTCCTGCGACGGCATCGTCTACGTTGGCTTCCTCTGCGGGCACGTTGAACCCTGCTAGCTCGGCTGCAGGCCCCTTGCCACGGCCGGCGTGGCACCAGGCTGCTCCGCCAGGTGTTAATGCTGCCCCCGACCCGTCGCCTCATCCTGCAGGCAGGAGCGCTGGTAGAGGCCAGCGTCCCAAGGCCCAAAAAAGCAAAGACACATTTTGGATATTTTTCACGACCAACCCTAACAACTGGAACGGGTTCCAGGACGTCTGGGAATGGATGCATCTCATGGGGGAGGTTCCTGACTTCGTTGCTGTCCAGGAGACGCGCCCATTGGCGGGAGACCCTGTTTCTTCGGCGACTTCTTGGGCAGGTTTTCGAGGCCTCAACTCCCATCGTGCTCCTGCTGTTCTCACAGGAGACCACCGACTAGCAAATTCGGCAGGTGTTGCTGTCGCTGTCCGACGTCATATTGCGAGCATACACCTTTCGCATGAGCAGCTCGGGGTGGGGCCTGTCGGACGTGGGAGGAATGTCGTCACCCACGCCCAAGCTGTCGTACCTGGGGGAATGCACTGGGTCTCTATGTATGGCTATACTGGAATTGGGTGCACTGGCCTAAACATCCAGCTCTTGGAGGACCTTGGGAAGTTCCTGGAACAGCTTAAGACCCCTTGGGCTCTTGGAGGTGACCTCAACATTGATGCCTCGGACCCTGGGCTGCTCGGCTGGTGTACGCTTGTAGGTGTCACAATCAT